GCGTGTAGACACCGCCAAGAAGGGCGAGCCGGGGGGTGAGGCCAGGCAGGAGCCGTCTGCTCCCAGAGCCCGGTCTTGGTGTTCCTCTGTGGATGGGCCTCATTCCCCAGCCAGGGCTCCCGTGGTAGGCAGCTGCAAGTACCTGGGCCTCTGCTGTCGTCCTCGGTAAATGGATCCAAATTCACAGCCCTTCTGGTCAGGGTTGCCGTCAACCCTGGTTGCTGACCCAGGGTTGCTGACCAGGTTGTCTAATCAGCTTTATTGAGTTTTTTTTTTTTTTCTCTTACAGTACTAGGAAGGGACCCAGCGACTTGCATATGCTCAGCAGGAGCTATACCGCTGGGCTTTACCCCCCAGCCCATCCGGGTTTAGCTTTAAAAATGTGTGTGGTGGTACATGCTTGCATCCCCAGCGTTTTGGTGGTAGAGGTAGGAGAATCAGGAGTTCAAGGTTATCCTCAGCTACGTGGTGAATTTGAGGCCAGAGTGGAATACATGAGACTCTCTCAAAAACAAATAAGTGACTGGGTGTGGTGGCGCAAGCCTTTAATCCCAGCTCTCAGGAGGCAGAGGAGGAGGATTTCTGTGAGTTCAAGGCCAGCCTGGGCTGCATAGAGAGACCCTATCTTAAAAAATAAATAACACTGAAAATAGACTATTTCAGCTTCCCTCAGTTCCCTCAGCCCACACCTACCCTGTGTGTGTCCTCGTCCGTCCTGACCTCAGCAGCCACTGACCTGTTTGTTTCGTGAACTTAGCACGCTCACTGGCGCTCACTCTTGCTCCCGAGCGTTGCCCGGAAGCATCACTGTTCACACTGTGGTCAGTCGTCATTGGCCGTTTGCACTTCCTGACGATTAAGCACAGAGCCATCCAAACCTGCTATAGACTGACGCTTGTGTTCCCCTGGGTGGCGTCCCAGGAGGGTGGGTTTAGGTTTTAAAGGAGTCCAGAGGGCTGGCCTTCCACATCACACCTGGTGGGAAAGGGCCGTGTGTAGAGCCCTTTCCATCTGGACACTTGACTAACAGGTTCTTGTTCCAGGGCCCAGGGATGTGGGGACCCCTTCCGGTCCTGAATCTGGCTCTTTGGACAGGTTTATCCACCAGGTAAACCAGGCCGCAGTGACCATCCAACGCTGGTACCGCCGCCAGACCCAGAGGCGCCGAGCAGGAGCCGCAAGCCTCGAGCACCTGCTGGCGTCCAAGCGAGAGGTCAGTGTGATTGTGTGGGCCAACCCAAGCTCACCCGAGGGCTGGGCATGGAGTCCTCGGGGTCTCACGGTGCGCGGCGGAGCTGTTGAGACAAACCAAATGGAGTCAGACCCGGGGTTACTCAGAGGTGCACACCCCATCCGTGGGCCTTGCTTGGTTCTTGAAGCTATTGCTGGGGTCCATGTGTCAGGAGACCAGCCGGTGCCAGGGTGACACCCTGAGCAAGCTCCTGGCCGCATGCTGCAGATCTGTCACCTTCCGATATGCCTCTCTGCATCTCAGGGTGGGGCTGGCTCTCTTTTGAGCCAAGGTGGCAGGTCCAGGGTCCTAGGGACCTCATCTCTTCTCTGCTAGTGAACTCTGCAGATTCCCATGACTCTCAGGGTCCTGTGGAGGCCTGCCAGCTGGTCCCAGGGCTCAATCATCTTTCGGTTCTGTAAAGTTCATGGCTTTGGCTTCCCTGGCAGGGGCAGAGGCAACGGCTGGGTAGTGGGAACCTTCTGGACCTGCACCGGCAGGAGGAGGCAGCAAGGAAGAGAGCCCGGGAGGAGAAGGCTCGCCGGGCCAGGCAGGCAGCCATCCAGGTACCGGGTACCCCAGGTAGCGTCCATTCTGCGTGACACAGACCCCTGGGAGCACCGGGCCTCAGGGCAGCTGGGCTGCAGAGGGGTAAGGGGGCACGCTGCTTTCGGCGGCCACTCAGAGGTGCTCCTCCGTCAGGAACTACAGCAGAAACGAGCCCAGAAGGCAGGCGAGGCTGAGCACAGGCCCCCCAAGGACAGACCAGAGACCAGAGCACCAGGACAGCCTCGACCCACGCAGGAGCCCCCCCTGGTGCCAGGCAGTGTCGCCCAACCGGCCCTCAAGGCCAACAATGCTAGTAAGTGGTCCTCAGTCTGTCTGACTCTGGGAGGCTTACGACGGGAAGAAGCCGCGGGAAGAAGCCGCATGCTCTGCCGGCTCCAGTCCTCACGCTGTGGCCAGGCTCGGTGACTTCCACCTGCACAGTCAGGCTCTGGGCCCCAGGTCACCGCTCCCCACCTCTGCTTCTGCCTGGGTCGCTTGTGGCGCTGGACTTGAGGGTGTCCAGACCTTGACAGATGGTCCTTCCAGTAGGACCTGTACAACTAAGGCCCAGCATTAGGGAGCTGCACTCGTCCCCCATAGCTTTGTCCCCTGCAAGGCCAGGGGGCCCCTCAGTGTCTCTTTGAGCTTCTTTCTACCTGGCTCCTTCCCAGGGCAACCTCCACATTCAGGCCCTGGGAGGGATGACCCCGTGTTCTGTTTTTCAGGTGTCAGCGTCTACCCCACAGGCCCTGGAGACCCTTGCCCCCCTGCCCCTGAGCCACTCCCAGAGCCCCAGCAGCCTCCAGAGGACAAGTCACAGGTCTGGACACGGCTCCCATCCCCCTCTGATTTTGACTTCGGGGCATGTCCATGCCTGGGTGGCCTAAGCTGTCATTTCTCTGCCCTCTCTTCAGCTTTGGGGTCTCTTGTGTCCTGGAAGGATGCCCACAGGGCTCCTGTCGTGATTTGAGACAGCAGCCTGGTGATCTCGCTGGGGTGGGGTATCGGAACTGCTCTGGAATCCTGCTGGGAGTTCATGTTCTCGGGGGGGGCTCCTATGTCCCTCTCCATGAAAGAAGGGGACAGCAAGGCCACAAGGCTGCTCAATGTGAGACTGAGCAGGGCCTTTCTCCCCCAAGGACGGTATCTTGAGATACGTGCCAAGCTGTAGACGGGCCGACCGTTGGGGATGGGCACAAAGGCCCCTGCCCAGCAGCAGTGGGTGGACCTCGTGCGTGGGGCGGCTTAGTCACCACTAGCCTACTGATGTCCCTCCCATAGGACATCCGTTCCCAGGATGCAGCAAGAGAGGACTCAGAAGTGTTGGGTACTACCAGGGGCAAGGCCAAAGCCAGGGCAACCCTGGATGAGCTGCTGGACACGCTGAGGCTACTGGAGGAGGAGCCTGAGCCACTGCCCCGCCCCAAGGCCTATCACAAAGACAGATATGCCTGGACCGATGAGGCAAGTGGGCACTTGGTTCTGACAACCATGAGCATAGGTCAGGAGGCCTCCACAGGAGTCAGGGCAGGCTGGTGCCACCATTTTCCTGCTTTAATCAAGACCCTAACAAGGGCCAGATGTGGCCTGTTGACCTCTGTTCCGTCTCCCTTCCCGTCTGGTCCTTGAGGTTGAGACACAGTGAGTGACCCACGCGGGTTCGAAGCTCCCTTGCTTCAGTGATATCTTCAGAGGTCTGAGCAGCAGGAGGCCCTTCTTCCAGTCAGCCTTACTACCTCACTGCTCCACACCCCTGTGTGACCCCCAAGTCCTCAGGCTTCCCTGACAGCCTCCGATGCTGGGCCGCCTGCAGGAGGATGACACCAACTCCCTGACAGCCGACAACCTGGAGAAGTTTGGGAAACTGAGCGCACCCCCGGGCCCACCCGATGACGGCACTCTGCTCTCGGAGGCGAAACTGCAGAGTATCATGAGCTTCCTGGATGAGATGGAGAAGTCAGGACAGGACCGGCCGGCACCCCGGCGGGAGGTAGTCAGCCGCCAGGCCCCGGGTAGCTCCCAGCGGGAAGTGACCACTTGCAAGGCCCAATGCAGCAAGCAGTCCCACTCCCAAGTCCTGAAGGCTGACAGGGCTGCCGTGTCCCACCCCAGGCTCCTGTCTAGGTGGGTCACCCTGTCCAGGTGAACGGAGCTGACATCCCTGGCTCTGGTCTCCTTGGGCTGTCTTTCCTGAGTGAGCAACAGTGACCATGACGAGCGGAGAGAAGTCTTGTTTTCATGGGGCAGGAAGTCAGGAGTGGATAGGTCACGTCTGATGATCTGTGTTAGCGAGTGGATAGGACATGTCTGATGATCTGTGTTAGCGAGTGGATAGGTCATGTCTGATGATCTGTGTTAGCGAGTGGATAGGTCATATCTGATGATCTGTGTTAGCGAGTGGATAGGTCACGTCTGATGATCTGTGTTAGTGAGAGGATAGGTCACGTCTGATGATCCGTATTAGTGAGAGGGTAGATCACGTCTGATGATCTGTGTTAGCGAGTGGATAGGTCACGTCTGATGATCTGTGTTAGCGAGTGGATAGGTCACGTCTGATGATCTGTGTTAGCGAGTGGATAGGACATGTCTGATGATCTGTGTTAGCACGTCAAGGTCATAGCCCTCCTTCTTCTGCACTGAATGACAAATACGGCCTCCATGTGTTGACTTGTCACCCATCGTCCCTCAACCAGATGCCTGTCGTTCCCTCACAGCAGTGTGGAGCAGGGGGCACTTAGTGACTCCCACGGAGGGTGGGTATCAGGTAAGTGGCAGCTGCTGGGTGGCCTGCCTGAGGCTTGTCGTATCCTTAGAGCCTGGGGCTGGAAGCGGGCCCAAGGCCCCTGGAGCTGGGTTCTGAGGGGAGTACATCCATGATGCGGCTCAAGCTGGAGGTGGAGGAGAAGAAGCAGGCCATGGTTCTACTGCAGAGAGCTCTGGTGAGACCACCCCCCACCCCCACCCGGGGCTCTCCCTGGGGTGGGGCCTGCCAGCATCCTACTGAAGAGGCCTGAGCCATTGCCATCCCCGAGGCTACGTCTTCATCTGCTCCCCCACGTAGCCCCTGGTCTCTGGTAGGGACCCGATGCCAGTACCTTCCTGTCCATACCCCCCCCCGCAGGCGCAGCAGCGGGACCTCACCGTCCGCCGCGTCAAGGAGACAGAGAAGGAGCTGAACCGGCAGCTTCGGCAGCAGAAGGAGCACTATGAGGCCACCATCCAACGGCACTTGTCCTTTATTGACCAGGTGACAAAGCTCTGGGAGGCTGTGTGGGGTGACAGGAGTTGGTCTTGGTGTCATTGTCCCTCCACAGGGCAGTGCTGGCTACAGCCCCATGTGGCCGAGGCCCCAGGGTGGTTCTCCAGCTGGCTGGCCTAGCAGAGGTGCCTTGGGGTGGACACCAGAGCCTCACCCCACCCCCATCACAGCTGATCGAGGACAAGAAGATTCTGACTGAGAAGTGCGAGGCCGTGGTGGCCGAGCTGAAGCATGGGGACCAGCGGTGTCAGGAGCGCGTGGCCCAGATGCAGGAGCAGCATGAACTGGTGAGCTCCCGGGACGGTACTGCCTACAAACAAGTTCCTGGGGCGCACGGCATCGTGGCCTGAGATTAGCAGGTCCAGGGGACTGGTGAAAAGATCGCAGTACTTTTCCTTCGTTCCCTTTCCTGCTTCTTGAGAGTTTGTTTGTTTGTTTAGACAGGGTTTCTCTGTGTAAAGGCCCTGGTGTCCTGGACCTCGATTTGTAGACCAGGCTGGCCTTGAACTCACAGAGATCCGCCTGCCTCTGCCTCCCTGGTTCTGGGATCAAAGGCGTGCGCCACCTCACCCAGCTTTTTTTTAAAACCTTTTTGGTGCCTCTCCATTTTCTTGAAGTGTACCTGAGGTGTGGGCTGCCACATCCCAGGTAAGCATGCATACATGCACAGCTTGCCTGGCCCTTCTCACAGGACAGTGGTCACAGACCCAGGAGTCCAAGCCTGGCCCACTCCAGTAAAGTCCTGAGTAACAGAACCCGTCCATCTTGGATGTACCAGGCACCTCAGCTCCCACCTGACTGGCCAGCAATTAAAAGTCTGACTCAGCCACCTGGCCATGCTTCTCCCCAGAGCATAGACATGGCGTCTCTGAAGCCACCTAGACTTGAGCCCAGACCCAAGGGGGTGAGGGGCTCCAGGCCATCTCTGACAGCCCGAGGGGACCCCCCCATCCTTGTAGATCTTAGGTGTGAGTGTGGCTTCTCCAGGCAGAACCGGGCTTTCTTCACCGTGGATGTATGCAAGGTCCCGTAACTGTCTAACTCGCATCGTTAGAGCATGTAATGTGCAAGGCTTAAGGGTTAAAGAATTTCTTTCTGGGCTGGGCAGTGGTGGTGCACACCATTAATGCTAACCTGGTCTACAGAGGGAGTTGTAGGACAGCTAGGGCTACACAGAGAAATTCCTGTATTGGGGAAAAAAATTCTTTTCTTTCTGTAAGTATGGTTGTAAGATGAATATATGAAGACTATTGCTTAGATTTAGGGAGAATTGTTCAGACAAGGTTATAAACCATTTGTACCTTTAGTTTCTTTACTGTCATTAACATTTTTGTTGGTGGTGTCTTTAAGAAAACATGCGCTCGCTGGGCGTTGGTGGCGCACGCCTTTGATCCCAGCACTCGGGAGGCAGAGGCAGGAGGATCTCTGTGAGTTTAAGGCCAGCCTGGTCTACAGCGCGAGTTCCAGGACAGTCTCCAAAACAATACAGAGAAACCCTGTCTCGAAACCGCCCCCCCCCAAAAAAAGAAAAAAGAAAACATGCGCTGTCCCTGTAGTCAGTTGAGGTCGTGTCGATGTTGTCCGTCGGCAGGGAAGGCATGCCAGCTCCCGGGAGGAGGGCTCCCCTTCCTCCCTACGTCTCCTTCATTCTCCACCCTTCAGTTTGGCCTCAGTTCCAGTGGAGGGTGTCATCCCTCTCAGGGGTGAGACCTCTGCAAGTCCATGGCTGTAGCCACCCTACCTAGTGCCTGGGCCTGGAATACATGTGGTAGGGTGGTCCCCACACCTGGGGGAGAGGAAGGAGCTCGGCAGAGTACAGGCCCATGAGGTAGCAAGGGGACAGGGGACTCGGGATGCCCCTCTCATCTCTGCATTCTGACTTCCTGTGTTCTTTACCCAGGAGATTAAGAAACTCAAAGAACTCATGAGCGCCACTGAGAAAATCCGCCGTGAGAAGTGGATCAATGAGAAAACGAAGAAGATCAAAGAGATCACAGTCAGAGGTGGGGGCCTTCCCGCCCTGGCGGTAGCTGGGGACACTGCAGAGAGAGTGGTGACTTCAGTCCCATATGCTGTGGCACGGAGCATGCATGTTCCTGGGTGATGCCCCGGTGAAGGCTGCTTGAGGCCGGTAGATGCAAACGCCGTTTCAGCTGCCGGCTGTCAGTTCACAGAAGCCTGAGGGGAGCGTAGGTGACTGGCACGTAGGTCAGACCCCAGAGAAAGCTATAGAAAAGAAGTACCAGGGCCCCTTAAGCTGACAGAGTCGGTGTGTGAGGGAGCTGTGGACATAGGTGGTCTTACCGCCTTATCATAAGTCCTCCTCCTCCAGGATCCTGCGCACTGTGCCCCTGGGAGGCACACCGAGGGGCTGGGTAGCCGTGTGAACCAAAGGCTGGAAAAGCCACTGTGGTCTGATGGCGTCCCCAGGACACTCCTGGGGGCGGAGCTCTAGGGTGCAGTCCTGGCCTCTTGTCTCTCCGTAGTTTATCCGGCTTTGCTGTGTTTTGGGGCAGTGACTGGATGGGAGGGGCCTCGCAGCCCTGTCTCTGGTGCAGCCCCTGTCCCCGCAGGTCTGGAGCCAGAGATCCAGAGACTCATTGCCAAGCACAAGCAAGAGGTGAGGAGGCTCAGGGGCCTGCACGAGGCCGAGCTGCAGCAGCGTGAGGAGCAGGCCGCGCAGCGCCACCTGCGCCAGGCAGAGGAGCTGCGGGAACAGCTGGAGCGCGAGAAGGAGGCGCTGGGCAGGCAGGAGCGCGACCGCGCCCAGCAGCGGTAGGAGGGCACTGGAGGCTGGGGTCTTAGAGCAGCCCCCCGGTCCCCCGGGAACAGTAGCCGGCTGTGTGGGACTTGTGCGCGGCCCACCTGCCAGGCCAGGGCAGTGAGATTCCCTTGTGGGGTCACATGACATCGCCGTGTGGACACTCAGATGACCCGACTCGTTAAGCTGAGCACACAGAGTTGTGTAGGCCGCTCTGCTGCAGAGGACACAGCCTTATTCATTCCCTCAGCTCTAGCTAGGGTTCAGCACTCTTAAGGCATGACCAGGCTGTGCTGCCAGAGCCTGGGACCTGGTGGCCAAGGGACATGGGATTACTTAGGCACCAGTGGCCAGCACACAGCCCCTCCAGGCTGGAGTCTCCTAGGTGACCCACTGGCCCTCGTCAACACCCCTGGCTGACCTATGCTCTCCCACTCTCAGGAGGCACAAGGCCGCCAGCCATGACAGGAGCCTGCTCAGGTGCCTAGCTCTCACCTGAGACGGGGCCTAAAAGCAGAGAGAGGCCAGTGTGAGGACACCCTGAGCCACAAACCCAGCCGAGCTGAGGCCGTGTCACAGCCTTCTCGGGGGCTGCCGCTGAAGGTGGCCGGCCGCAGCCCACCAACCGCAGAGGGTCCCGGGAGCCCATGTGTCCACCCTGGCCAGCGGGGTGACTGACAGGGAGTGCTGTGGCCACTGCCATGGTGGATGCGTCCTTGCTGCCCTGCAGGTTTGAGCAGCACCTGGAGCAGGAGCACCGGGCCCTGGAGCAGCAGCGGCGGCGACTCTTCAATGAGGTGGCTGAAGAGAAGGAGCGGCTGGGCCAGCAGGCAACCAGGTGCTCCCGAGGGAGGGCTGCTCTCCTCACGGTGACCCCGGCCTGCCCGGCCCCTCTCACACTGACCGACTCTTGTTCCCCGGCTCTTGCTGGCCTGCAGGCAGCGGGCAGAGCTGGAGGAACTGAGGCAGCACCTGGAGGAGAGCAGTGCGACGCTGACTCGAACCCTGCGCGCCGAGTTTGAGAAGAACCGGGAGGAACAAGAACAGAGGCACCAGGTTGGCATGGCCACCGCCTCAGAATGCCAGCTGCTCCAGCCTCCGGTGGAGGAGGGGGTGTCTTCTGTCTTTGGCCTGGCCCCTCAGCAGGGCGGGCAGGGCGGGCAGGGCCTTGGAGTGGCCCTGGGGCTGCTCACAGTGTCTCTCCCCCCACCCCAGATGGAGCTGAAAGCCCTGAAGGATCAGCTGGAGGCCGAGAGGCAGGCGTGGGTGGCCAGCTGCGCCAAGAAGGAGGTAGGAGCAGCCAGGGCGGGCTGCGGTCCCGGCTCTCTGGGCGCTGGCTTCTGGGTGTCACTTGTCGCTGCTTTGGGGTTTGGTCGTTCATCCCTAGCTGCGCCCTGCTGTTCGCTGTTAGAATTAGAGCAGGAGGAAATGGGGTTGGGCAGGTCCCGGAGACCTGAGAGGGCATCCTCTCCAGGAGTCTCCCGCCTGTGCCCTTCAGAGTCGGCCGAGACCCAGACCCTGAGGCCCCAGGGCAGGTCTGCTAGACTTGGCCTGTCTAGCAGACAGTGGTAGTTGATTGTCTTGGGGACAGCCTGTTACAGTGGTGACCTCCTTAACCAAGGCCGTCTCATGCCTCTGTGCTCACAAGAGGCCCTCTGGGGGCCTGGGCAGATCTTCACCCCTGACCTGTGCTTCTCCCTATGGCTCAAAGCAGGGACCGTCCCCCGGAGCCCACGAGGCTACCCTACCTACCCTCTCCTACCCTCTTGTCCTCCTGGTGGCAGACTCTGACTGCTGTGTGTCCTACAGGAAGCGTGGCTGCTGACCAGGGAACGGGAGCTGAAGGAGGAGATCCGAAAAGGCCGAGACCAGGAGATCGAGTTGGTCATCCACCGACTGGAGGCCGACATGACACTGGCCAAGGAGGAGAGCGAGAGGGCGGCGGAGAGCCGGTGAGCTGCCCCTGCCTTCCTCCCGTCCCGCAGGCAGATGGATGGGGGAGGGCCCAGAGCGCGGGGGGGCGTGGGAGGGGCGGTGAGCTGCCCCTGCCTTCCTCCTCCCGTCCCGCAGGAGGGCCCAGAGTGGGGGGGGCGTGGGAGGGGCGGTCTGTCTTCATGCCCCCTCCCGCCCCCGCCCGCCAGCGTGAAGCGCGTGCGGGACAAGTATGAACTGGAGCTCTCGGAGCTGGAGCAGTCGGAGCGGAAGCTCCAGGAGCGGTGCGCGGAGCTGAAGGGGCGCCTGGGGGAGGCCGAGGGGGAGAAGGAGCGCCTGCAGTCCCTGGTGCGGCAGAAGGAGAAGGAACTGCAGGACGTGCTGGCGGTGAGTGTCCCCGGGGCCCTTTCCGCGCCGGAGCCCTCCTTCCTGGTAGCCCGCTCACAGCCTCCCCCTGCTGCCCAGGCGAACACACAGATGTGCGGTGAGCGGGCCAGCCTGGCCCTGGTGGTCCGACAGGAGTTTGCAGACCAACTGGCAGCCTCCCAGGAGGAGAACCAGAGGGTGAAGGCGGAGCTTGCGGAGCTGCGGGCCCGCCAGCAGATGGAGCTGGACGAGGTGCATCGGAGGTGGGTGGTCAGGACTTGAGGTCGCTGCCGGGAACGTGGGGGACGCCGGGGGTGGTGTCACGCATCTTCCTCTGTCTTCCACACGGTGCAGACTTTGCCCACTGGCAGGAGCTCGCATGGCTCCCAGCTTGGTGCTCAGGGAGGCTGGCCCTTTCCCCCTGGGTGCTGCTTAGTTGTGGAGCACTGAGTGTCCCATCAGGGCTGGGGAGGACCCATGTGTGTTTCTCCAAGGAGGTGGGCCAGGGCCCTGACTGGAGCGGGCGTTGTTCAGCAGGGGGCCAGCTTCGGGGAGGGCGACACTGAGCACCCAGAATCTTAGTCTTTCCTGAGGCGGAGGCTGCTGCCCGTGTGGCTGACAGAAAAAGACAAAGTCACCAAGTGACTTCTCACCTATCTTGGTCTGCACCGTGCCCAGCCCCCTCCCTTCCAAGAGCCGCTTAGCATCTGGTTCTCATGGAGATGGTGGCCTAGGGCCAGCTGCTCAGGTCAGGGTCAGCAGGGCGGAGACCAGGGGGTAGGAGGCTGCCCTCAGGCTGCCCTGGGGCCCAAGTTGGGGGCTGCACAGGAGCCCACTGCACTCCACTGCAGGGTGAAGATGGCTCTCGCGAGGAAGGAGGAGGCCGTGAACAGTCTCCGGAAGCAACACGAGGTGGGTCCCTCTGTGGGTCTGTGAGGGTCCTGCCTGGGTGGGGGGGGGCGTCTGGGGCCTGACCAAAATGTGTTGCAGGCTGCTGTGAAACGGGCGGACCACCTAGAGGAGCTGCTGGAGCAGCACAGACAGCCGTCTCTGAATGCTAAATGACATCACCCTCGGGTGAAAAACCCAGCCTGAGGCAGATACTCAGCCCTGCAGCTGGTGTCTCATCCCGGGACAGCAGCTGGTGTGACAGGCACCCCCTCATGGAACCCCAGCGCTCAGGACATTACTGTCAGCATGCCTGCGGTGTTTTATAGTAAAATAAGTTAGCTTTGTTGTTTTTTAAAAAGGTTTCGTGTCACCTGCCTGTCTTTCTCTGCTGTGTTGGGTTTGGGGCACAGGGAGCTGGAGACCACAGAGAGCTCTGACTCTTGCTGCTCCCTCTTCCCACCTGTCCAAGCTGACAGGGAAGTGGCCTGCAGCCCCTCTGCTCTCAGCTGCAATCCCCAGCAGGTGGTGGCCAATTGTTCCCACCCTGGCCTCTCCGGAGAATAATGGACTCACCTCCTGCAAGGAACTGTGTCTCTAGCCCAGTCCAGAAACCTCAGCTTCTCCTCCTCCTCCTCCTCCTTTTTAATGCTTATTTATCCATTTAAAAAGTATACACATGTGTGTGGTTTGCCTCCTTGTATGTCTGTGTGCCTGATACCTGTGGAGGCCAGAAGAAGGCATGGGACGCCCTTGAACTGGAGTCACAGACAGTTGTGAGCCACCATGGGGGTGTTGGGATTCGAACCCAAGAACCTCTCTGTACCCTTTACCTTGCTTGGTGGACTGTCGATGCTTCCCAGCCTAGGGGCCTGTCTACACAGATGGAGGCGAAGGCTGTAGCCCATACACGGAAGGCAGAACCCTGGAGCACTTGGCGTGGACAGAGTCTTCTGAGCAGGCCTCACCGAACCAGCATCTTCCCTGATAGGCCATGGCCCTGAGCCAGTGTTCTGGGAGACCCTTTGCGGTGTAGCTACAGCTGGCTACCAGTCCACCCTGCCGCTTCCTAGAAGCTGCTGCCTGTGAGGGCCTGACTGGTCCATGGCTCCTCTGCCAAGGGCCACCTGCTGACGGAGTGTCCTTAGCCTGCTCTATGCCTGGGTTCCTCAGAGAAGGCTGGCTACAAGATTGCATACGGCGTGGCATCGTCCCCCTGTCTCCCAGTAGCTCAGGTTGCGGGCTCCAGGATCCTCAGCTTATAGTTCAGGGGTGCAGACCAGGAGGGGGAGCCCAGGACCAGGGGTGACGCTGTGCTCATAACTGAAGGCAAACGTGAGTTCAGGGTACAGGTGCTCCAGAGCCTGAGTACAGGAGGAGCTGAGGTCAGTCAGCCTCAGGGTTAGACCAGTGGCTGCGGCTTCACTTTGACTTGATCGTGGTTATGTTTGGGTTGGCAAGATGGCTTATTACATAAGCCAGGCGGTGGTGGCGCACGCCTTAAATCCCAACACTCGGGAGGCAGAGGCAGGCGGATCTCTGTGAGTTTAAGACCAGTCTGGTCTGCAAGGGCGAGTTCCAGGACAGCCTCCAAAGCCACAGAGAAACCCTGTCTCGAAAAAAAAATTCTTACTACGTCAACCTGAGTTCAGTCCCCGGAGCCCACGTGACTACTGCTGTGATGAGACACCACCACCAAAAACAGTGTGGGGAGGAGAGGGTGGTTCATTTGACTCCCACCAAAAAGAAGTCAGGGCAGGAACTCCAGCAGGGCAGGAACCCGGAGGCAGGAGCTGAAGCAGGTGCCATGGAGGGGTGCTGCTTAGTGACTCGCTCACCGTGACTTGCTGGCCCAACCTGCTTTCTTAGAGAACCCAGGAATCTATCAGCCCAGGTGTGGCGCCGGCCGGCAATGGGCTGGGCCCTCCCCCGTCAATCCCTACTTAAGAAGATGCCCCACAGGCTTGCCTGCAGCATGATCTCGTGGAGGCTTCTTCTCAGTTGAGGTTCCCTCCTCTCCAGTGACGCCAGCCTGCATCCAGTTGGCATAAACCTGCCAGCTCACCATGTAAAGGCGGAGAAGAGAACCAACTCCACAGAGTTGTCCTCTGACTTCCACACGTGCACCGTTGTACACACACACAGACACACACACGTGCACCGTTGTACACACACACAGACACACACGGAGCACATACATAAAATACTTATTGCTTGTTTGAAGACATTGTAGTGGGGGAGCGTTAAGTAACTACGGACCGGGCATGGTGCTCGTAAATAGTGTTCAGAGCGTGGAGTCTGGAGATGCCCTGAGCAAGTTGACTGTCCAGACTAGCCGAACAGCGGGGTAAGGACCTGGGGTCCAGCAACCAGGCCTGGATGGGCTTTCACTGAATCCTCACGGCCGAGTAGCCCCAGGCCCTTCCCAGCTCTGCAGTTGTCTCCCGCCAACTGGCATCCCACCATCAGAGCTGGCTGGTTCCACAGCCTGCCACCCCCTCCCCCCACAAGTCCCCAACAACAACAGACCACACAGCCTTCTGAGTGAGAGGCTACTCGGGCATCAGCCAAGGCTGCTGAGTCACAGGCTGAGATGAGAGAAAGGCCTCAAAGGCAGGAGGGGGAAGGGGACAAGGCCCCGGGCCCACCGCCCTACAAATCCTGGTCCCCGGCAACACGCAGTGCCCAGGGCCAGAGTGGTGAGCAAGATCCCAGCTTCCGGCCGCCACCCCCCCACACACACACCCAGAGTTCATGAGCACACATACGAGAACACCAGCCCACACACATCTGATGAAGCTGCCTTTGGGCACGGCCTCTCTGGGACTTCTCCAGGCCCCAGCTCCAGGGTTTCTTACCCTGTAGGCTTACCTTTGCCCCAATCACACTGGGGCGATGAGTGGCCCAGGGACTCACAGTGTCACACACCGGTGTGTCTGCTCGAATCATCTACGTTTGAGTTGCAACCGTTCCACACCTATTGCTGGGCGCTCCGGTTTGACACTGGGATTCCCTGACACTTGGCACAAGCACAAGCACGCTGGCTATCAGCAGCACCGAGCCCCCATAGTGTCTGGTTAGGAGCCTTGCCCAAAGCCATAGATTGGAACCCAGACCTAGAGCCCCGAGTTGGCTGCAAGACGAAGGTACTAAGCAGGAGGGGTCACGCAGCAGGAGCCACCAGAGAGGGACAGACAGGGCTCTGCTGGGGGCAGGACTGGCTGGCACAGTGGAGGGGAGGGAGGCACTGTGGAGAGGTGAGTATCATACTCAGGCTGAGACGTGGGCCGGGGTGAAGGCTCAGCACAGCAAGGCTTTGGTGACTGGTGAGAATCCCAGAGCGTACAGGGGTCAGTTCAGTTTGCTCTGAATGCCCCAGCCACACTCTCTCCCCGGGTCACAGACACACAGATACACACACACACCACATACAACACACACACACACACACACGTGCGCAACGCCACACACACGTGCACACACACACACACACACACAGAAAAGAGGCCCCTGGCTGCCTGTAACACTAGTTACCCATCTTCCAGATGGCTTTACCCTGCATGAAGCCCGCACCCTGAGCCGACCGGGCGAGGAGGGAGAGGATCCGGACTGTGTCCTTGTAGGAGTGTGGCTTTCCCTCAGGCTCGTGGGTGACAGACCAGGCTGTGGTATGAGGGCTCTGTATGCGTTTTTTCCAATATG